CATAGGACTTTTCGCAGAGAAGGGAATAGGAGAATCTTTGTTTACAAAATTTGCTTAGTAGCTGTAGCATAAACGATGCTGTTTCTCATGGAGATACAAAAAGATAAGTTGGGAATAATGAAAGAGCACACTACGATTAACCGTCACAGAGAATTTGAGTCCCGATGAATCGAATTCTTTCTGTGCGACATGGAGTTAAAAACTTAAAATTTTACGAAGAGTGTATGAGCTTATTAGCGCTTTTTGGGAAGAACATGACTTATTGAAGACTTGCAACGGAAGAGAAAATTCACGCGAGAATATTACGTCAATTATGACTAAAAACAACAAAAACGAGCATTTCCTCGCTAACAGAGGTTAAGACGACAAGGATTTATATCAACTGAAGTCTTATTTCACATAGTGGTGTCTGATCCCTGTAACCGTGATATCTACATGCAGAGTTTATGAGAGTTAATGGCTAATGAGGGATTTGTTTCAAAGGAGTTGAAAGGCAAGAAAGATAATCTGAAGGATAGAAATAAACATGAAGCACTGCTTGTTCGTTTGTCTAAAGTATTGACCAACAGGAAGGACGCTTCTACAGGAAAGACTGGTCTTTTCAAGAGTATGCAAGAAGTCCTCGATGAATTGAGGAGCGTGATGACGCAGGCGCTGTTTTACACTTGTTAAGCATAATTTATATGGCATAATTTATTTTTTCGGCTGTTGTGCCAGGACTGTTTTTGTTGTTTTTAGTCATCACTGATAAGCACCCTTAACACCTAGGAAGAGTAAACCATGGACATGGCCTCAGTCATACTGTTTTTTTTCTGGCTACGGCCCTGTATGCAATAATCAGCCAGCCGAAATAATTTGGTTATATTTTTAAAACGAAGTTAGTGCTTAGACATTTTTCAATTTTAACTTTTTAACTTCCTGTTCTTTAAGTTGACACTTAGCTAATTTTCATTGCCACCCGCTAGAGCATCTTAGCAACCAACCACTTTCTTCAATACTGTCAATATATGAAAACCACCCATTAGACTATGACATTACTCAGCTTAAACACAAGAACATCTGCTGTCAAATTAAAGGCAGAAACTTACTGAAAATCCCTGAGACTCTCAATTTATCATCCAGAAGATGATGGCTTCTTCACTGGAGATTCAGTTTAAGCATAAATTTGCAATCAACCTTTACGTCATTTGTATTTCACTTGGAATCATTTCCTCGATATGTTGTGGTTGCTCTGGTAAGCATACTCTCCTAGTTTGTTTTTTTCTCTTAGTTGGATTTTCGGAACAGATGGTTTTACGGAGCCTGAATTTGTCTGCATAAAAGCACAGCGTTGACTGGGCTTTTCCTGTCGAATTGACTTCCTGGGCAACACATAAATATGCTCTAGTGAAACTTTCTGGCTTGTCGCCTCTTCCAGAATCTTAAATGACGACAACAGTCAAAACTCGATTACAACCGTTGATGTTGTATGTCAAATGAATCAGCAATTCAAATAATTTAAACGAAGAAAAATATTGTATATGAATATTGGCATAATAACAATTTAGAAAGTAAATCATGCAGTATATGTAAGCAATATATATGGCGAAATAAAGGCAAAAATTTAATTAAAAAAACAACAACTATGAAATGCTCAACGGAAATTCAGATACGCAGACTTTCCTCAGAAAATATTGTACTCAGAAAGACCATCCTGTTTTGTTAGCAATTAGTTTTTAAGACATAAGTTTTAATTTGTTTAATTCTTTTTGAAGACGATGAATGTCGCGACATCATATTTAAGGAACCAGTTGCAAACAAGGCAATGAAGAACCACGTGATCAGGAGTGCGGAGGTGCCCAGTGAAGGGAGTTGTCGCTTGATGTGCTATATGGAGCCCAATTGTGTGTCCATTAATTTAGGACCATTGAAGGGAGGAAAACACAAATGCGAGTTGAACAACGCTACAGATGAAAACCAGTTTGCATCTCACCTTCAAGATAAACCAACGTTCACCTATCTTGCTATCGAGGTAATGCCATAGATGATCCAAAAATTGCGCAATTGAAATGTGTGAAATAAGAGTTTTACAGATGAAAATCCCGGTATTCTAAGGGCACGAGATATTTTCCTATTAAAGGTCGGTTCTTTTTGTGTTTTGTTTTTCTCTTAAGAACCCCTGCAGCAGCAGCCAATGTTTGAACAATGGAACCTGTCAAGCTGGATTCACCAGTAAAGGATATCGTTGTATCTGTCGCCCTGGATTCACTGGAGCAAACTGCCATGGTAATATGAAGTTAAAATTAATGACTGATTAGTTAATAAGTGAGGTGATAATTTATGTTGTTAAAACAAGGGAGTAAGAGTTTGTGAGATTCTAGTTTTCCATTGCGTAATATACATTCTTATCCATCGACTTATGACCGTGATGTGTACACCAGTCGAACATTCAAACTTCGACATCTGGTCACCATATTGCTACACCACTGAGAAAACGAGGGAACAGGGAAGGACCAGTGGTGAGAGCGCTCGCTTCCCACCAATGTGGTTCGGGTTCGACTCGGGCCCGGTGCCATATGTGGCTTGAGTTTGTTGTTAGTTCTCACCTTGCTTCGAGGGTTTTTCTCCTGGTTCTCCGGTTTTCGCTCCTCGACAAAAAACAACACTCCAAATTCCAATTCGACCAGGATGGAGGACCCACATGAAAACCAGCCAAGGCTGACGTGGCTTCCTAGATCAGTAAACATTGTAATTTTTATTTACTCCTCGGTAACTCCTTGGTACCTCTTCAGGCTTGGCAGTAAGAGGCTTATTTAAGTTTTTATCGTGACTCATTTCCTCATTTTAACCATTTATTCCAGCTTGCTTGTTTAATTTTTGGCTGCTTACTTGTTACCGTGCGGTATTTAACTTCATGTTGAAGTCTAAGTGAAGGAGCAAAACAATTCTAATAAATTCCATTTGCTCGTGAATTTCCACAGTTGACTCCAAAATTTTAAAGTATTGATGATTAAAGATGTTTTCAATCAAACAAATTATTTTGGACCTCTTAATTTCTCATTCAGTTTCCATTCTCGCTCAATAATTTTGTTTGTAAATTCATGTTCTCCAAACAGTTGTTTTGTTTTTCATACAGCACGGTTCAAAAGGAGAGGCTAACCTTTTTGAACGTATAAGGCATCAACTGCTCTTTTCAAAATACGCTGAAACTTTTTTTTTCCTATTTCTTCCAGTTCTCGCGAGGTCTTGCAAGGAACTATACGACCTACACGAGTAAGTCATTAATCAGTTGTTGGCGTGGGAGGGGAGAGAGAGGCATTTGTAAAACAGAGCACAACAGCGAATGAAATGTAGCGCCACCCAGCAAGCTGGAAAAGGAGAGTTTCGAATTTCCTTTCAAGGGGCTAACCGAGGTTCCCGGGTTATTTTCCAGCACTTTATATTACGTTTCTAATACCAGTGCCGCGTGGCATTACACACTATATTCGCCTGTTCACAATCAGTTCATTGCCACGTGTGAATACACCGGCGACTTGCATTGCCAGCAATCTGCGTTCGTCTGGTCTTGTCGCTCAGTCGGTATGGCAACAACGAGCTAATTCGGAGGTCGTAAGCTCGAATCCTGCTAGGTGAAAAATCTACTTTTGTACCATAAGGTTCTGGTCTCCAACAACGCTCAGGAGGATTTGCCTATTGTGTTTTTTGCCTATTGTGTTTTTGTTTTTGTTTGTTTTTTGTTTTTTCCTGACTCAACGCGACAGTGCCAATAGTTGGGCAATCCTTAATCACTCCGGTCATCATCTGTTTAGTGGTATTTTTATATTCAACAGATCTCGGGTGAGTGAGCTGGTTACGCTTCACTTTGACTCAAAACCAATTTCTGTTCTCTGTCACCTGGGAGATTTTGGATGTGGGGATGGAGGATGGACGCTGGTCATGAAGATTGACGGCAACAAGGTATATTAAAAGTGCAAGCCAAAGGATTCAAAGCTCAGTTCAGCTTGTTCTCGTGCTCCAGACCAACCCTTTTAAACAATGCTTAAAATCTCGAAACGATTTATTCACCTGAACTCTTGTAAATTAATTTTTACCAGATGCTTTGTTTGGAAAGTTGAATTTTCTTCTTTTACTGCATTATTCTTCAGAACACCTTTCATTATAACTCGACGTATTGGAGCGATAAAAACAAATACAATCTTCCTGGAGGGGAGACTGGGTTTGACTCAAAAGAGACCAAGTTACCGACCTACTGGAACACATCCTTCTCCAAGATTTGTCTTGGTATGAAGATCCGCCAACAGATTAACTTCACTGTCATCAACAAGCAGGCCAACTCTTTGTACTCACTGATCGCTGACGGGCAATACCGCCCCACCTCACTGGGTCGTAACACGTGGAAGACGCTGATTGGTTCAGAGGCTTCTTTGCAGTTCAACTGTAACAAAGAAGGCTTCAATGCTGCAGGTAGTGCTCAGCGCTCGTCCAAAGCAAGGATCGGTTTCCTAGGTAACAACGAAAACGATTGCGTCACTCCTGACTCGAGAATCGGGTTTGGTACAGGAGGACGTCATGATGACTCCAACACGTGTGGAAACGAGGCTTATGCTAATTCAGATAATGGAGACACACACATCAAAGCCATGGGGTACATCCTGGTGCAGTGATAACGAAAGCAAAAACAAACGTTTTGAGCAAACTGATTTAAAGCCATAATAATAATAATAATAATAATAATAATAATGATGATGATGATGATAATAATGATAATAATAATAATAATAATAACAGTAACAGTAACAGTAACGATAACGATAACGATAACGATAACAATAATAGCGATAACGATAACGATAGCAATAGCAATCGCAATAGCAATAGCAATAGCAATGGCAATAGTAATGGTAATGGTAATGGTAATGGTAATGGTAATGGTAATAGCAGTAGTAATAGTAATAGTAACAGTAATAGTAATAGTAATAGGTAACAGTAATCGGACCGAGTGGAGTACAATTCAGGGAGTAATCGCCCGAGAAATTTCAAAATCGGACGAGCGCGAAGCGCGAGGCCAATTTGAAAATACGAACACGATTACTCCCTAAATTGTATGACACGAGGTCCAATTACTAATTAATCGTATCTATAACAAATTTCGGAAATAAAATGTCTTTTGGGAAGTTCTTTTGAGGAAAACGCGTATAGCGCTTTTCATAAGTTTTGAAAACTGTAGGAACATTGCGAAGGAAGCCATTAAAGCGCGCGTACGTAATTGACATGAAGAATCACGTGGGTATCCAATTATAGGTATCCAATTAAAAAAGTTCAAATAGTAATAGTAATATGGTAACATTTAAGAAATGGGAAACATATACCGTGTTTCTATCGACTTATAGAAACACGAGTGGAAGTTTGGGAGACCAAGAAATGCTGTGGGAACACGAGTCGTAGGCGAGTGTTTCCACAGCTTTTTCAAGTTCTCTCAAACTTTCACGAGTGTTTCAATAACTCGACAGAAACCACAGGCAGCCCAAGCTCTCTTTATGAACCACACAAGCAACACAATATGGCATTGAATTAGAAGGGTCTATATGGGATTTTCTACAAGATATCCATGGAGGTAGTTAAAAGTGAAAATTCTCAATAAAAATGGCTTACCTTATTCCTTTATAAAGGGAAAATCGGGATTCAAAAAAGTCGCTTAAATCAAGTTCAATCGGTAAAATAACCACACCAGGAGTAAACAACACACGTACGGAATAAGGTAAGCCATTTTTATCAATAATTTTCACTCCCACATAAACCCTTGTAATTCGATGCCATATTGTGTTGCTTGTGTGGTTCATAAAGAGAGCTTGGGCTGCCTGTGCAGAAACATGGAGAACATGTTTTCTACTTCTTTTAGAAAACACCTCGACGAAAAAAAGGGAAACAACTTGTTTACTTTGATCATCAAAATGTAAACTCTCTTTGGTCGCGCCATCGTTACATCAACAGCTCGTGCTAATTCTGTGTTTCTATCGAGTTATAGAAACACGATTTTTAACCAATCAGCGCGCGTATTTCTTAGGACTGTTTTCTAAAGTAATATAGTAATGTAGTAATGGTAATAGTAAGAAGAAGAAGAAAAAGAAGGAGGAGGAGGGTGACAGTGACAGTGACAGTAACAGTAACAGTAACAATAGCCATAGCCATAGCCATAGCCATAGCCATAGCCATAGCCATAGCCATAGTCATAGTCATAG